ACTCCCCTCCTCCCACATTTTATGTTTTTGATATCATATCTATCCTCTTGTTTGTGCATGTGTATCCGTTACCTCTTATGATGGAAATAGTTAATGAATCCTATTTGTGTTCTTCTCTTTTCCACTTAAATAGCTGCATTTACCATTTCTTGTAGGACTTGTTTCTTGGCGATAGACTATAATTTTTGTTTGTCCTGGAAACGCTTTATCTCTCCTTCCATTTTGAATGACAACCTTGCAGGGTAGAGTATTCTTGGCTGTAGGTTTTTTCCTTTTAGCACTTTAAATATATCATGCCACTCTCTTCTAGCCTGTAAAGTTTCTGCTGAGAAGTCAGCTGATAGCCATATGGGGTTTTCTTTGTATGTAGCTTGCTGTCTTTCTCTTGCAGCTTTTAAGATTCTCTCTTATCTTTAATTCTGGACATTTTAATTATGATGTGTCTTGATGTGGGCCTCTCTGGGTTTATCTTGTTTGGGGCTCTCTGTGCGTTCCTGTACCTGGATGTCTGTTTCCTTCCTTAGGTTAGGGAAGTTTTCAGTTATTATTTCTTTAAATAGATTCTCTGCCCCTTTGTGTCTATCTTATCATTCCGGGACACATATAACACAAATGTTAGTGCATTTGACATTGTCCCAGAGGTCCCTTAGACTGTCCTCACTCTTTTTAATTCTTTTTTCTTTTATCTGTTCAGCTTGGGTGATTTCCTCTAGTCTTTCATCCAGTTCACTGATCCGTTCTTTTGTATCCTCTACTCTGCTTTTAAGTCCCTCTAGTGAATTTTTCATTTCTAGTTTTGTATTCCACATTTCTGATTGGTTCTTTTTCATATCTTCGATTTCTTTGTTGACGTTCTCACTGAGTTCACTCATTCTTCTCCAAACATCAGTGAACATCCTTATGACTCTTTGCTTGAACTCTCTGTTGGGTAGGTTGCTCATTTCTGTTTCCTTAGTTCCTTTTTATGGGTTTTGTCCTGTTCCCTTAATTGGAACATATTCCTTTGTCTCCTCATTTTGCCTCTTTCCCTGTGCTTGTGTCTATGTATTAGGTAGGTCAGCTACATATCCTGATCTTGGAGAGGTGAGCTTATATAAATGATGCCTTATGCCAACTCTAACTCTTAATATGTTCTCTGCCCACAACCTTTCCTGAACTTCATTATGCTTACAGAACATTATACATAGAGAACATCTGGTATCATGTTTTAAACTGCAGATTCTGATCAGTAACCCTTAGGCCTTCAACTTTTGTTTGGAAGCAAGGCTTACTGTGAGGCAACCTCATGGTCCGCATGTTAAATATTCATATCAAAATACTTTAAAAATTGATGGCTGTATTGGCCTGTAGTTCTTTCCTCCACCTCTAACACCAACCCAATGCAAACAGAAAAGAAAGAAAAACAGGTACAAGTACTTTAAAGAAACACACCAAGCAGTCATTATCTGCAGATGGCATGAATGCATACCAAGAGAACTTCAGAGAGTTCGAGAAATATTGAGAGTTCAGTAAGATACCCATAGCAAGATCAACATTCAAAATCAATGGGTTTTTTATCAAAAGAAAATGCAATTTTACAATACAATAAGAAAAACTGTTTAAAGTTTTGTAAAAACGTCAAAAATACCTAGGAATAATCCTACAAGAGATGCATGAAGTTCACAAGGAGTAAAGTGAAACTGGAAGGAATCATAACCTCCAGAGAGACAGAGTTTACTGGTGGGGTGGGGAATTCTTAATATTATGAGGAAGCCATTACCCCCAAATTCCTCTCCACAGTCCATGCAGTCATACAGTTCTAAGACATTTTTCGTGGAACTTAGGAAACTAACTATAAAGTTTACTGTACATAGGAGAAAAGATGTGAAAGAAGAGGCAGCACAGTTGTAAAGAATAATTAGTGATCAAGTGTTCCCATTTGTCCATTTCCTTCCCTCTGCTTTGTCTTAGCTAAACTTTAACCAGCTTCTCTCGTTCCCACAGGGCCCACAATTCTGCTTACGCTCAAGTTTGAAAAAAAACAAAAGAACTGGAACTTGCCCATCCCCCTTCAGCTTCTTCCGGGAATTGGCTGATGACAGGGAGACGCTCTCCTTGTCAGAAGTCATTGGTCATCTCCTCTTATTTGTCCAGCTTTCCCTCCAGATATTCTGATTTTCTCTGCCTGTCTCCTTCTTTACCCAATAAAAGATAACCCTTGTCTACACGATTATGAGAAGGTCACAGAGTTCAGAGGTCTGAGCATTCTCCCTGTTGCAATAGTCTTTCTGCTTAAAGTGTCTCCTTATCCAACCAGATTTGGTTTTATTTGACATAGACTAGAGAGATGTGCCTCATGAGATTTATAAAATCAACAAAAGTATAGAATTTTAAAAATGTGGAATTTTTCCAGAAATAAAAAGTGGATCAATGAAACACACTAAAGAAGACCTCAAATACAGCAATTTAGTGTTCAAAAGAAATGGAGTCTGAAGTCAATGTATGAAAAGTGTCATATGAAATCAATGTAGAAACGATTTTCTTTCCAATAGATGGTGTCAGGACAACAGGGTCTTCATTTAGGTAAAATTATTTACTAAACAAATTCCAAGTACATTAAAATCTACCAAAATTATAAAAATATTAGAAAATGAAGGACAATATCCTAGGCAAGAACTAAAGGAAAAATCCATACAGTAATTAATGAGAAAACTAGATCAAAATAAAATTAAGTTTATGGTGACACCACCCTCAATTTCCTCATTATCCCAATTGTCATGGGAATGACATTTATCCTACTTACATCAGTGTGAGCACGAACGTGCTGCATCGAGTGAGACTGAGTTCCAAGATACTCCTGTCCACGGCGGTCAGAAACTGTGCAGTGAACAGGGTGTGCACATCTTCCCGGACCCAGTGCCCAGCGTTCGACTCTGACTGGTGGCATACTTAGTATCCATCCTCCCTGACAGCACGGTTACTGCATCCAGTCCCTGGGGGAAGCCCTGGGCTAGGCCAGTCCATTAGCAATCAGATTCCGTTTGGGGGGCAGCTGGATTGTGTGTCTGGTTAGTAACACACATCCTCTTCAGGTTCTTGGGGCTTCTATTAGGGGTGGGAGAAGGGTTGAATCAAGAGAAAACAACTATGATTTGTTAAAGTAGTTTAATGTAAAAATCTGCCTTTGAAAGCAGTACCCTGGCCCTATATTCTGTGTTAAAACTCCAATTGGTGTTTTGGGCTTGTGGTCCTCCATTCTTTTAACCCAGCAAAAGTGGATGATCTTGCTCCAGGGGAATATTTATGTTTCAAACAAGGAAGTGCCAGCATTCCCATATGGATCAGAGGAACCTTAGAGACCTAAAATTGTTGAGACTGTTGTTTCCAGTTTAGCCGCTCCTCAAAGTCAAGTGAATATTTTCTCTTCTCCCCTTACCCTTCCCCAGAAGTAAAGGAGGTGACATGGTTTTCAAGTAGAGAAGTTTGTGACAAAAGACACCATAATCAGACTTTGCAGACATATGATAAGATAAAATGTTTTGCATATTTAACAAAACATGTACAGATATAGATCCATATGACACACACATACATACACGCACATATTGTTTACTCCTTAAAGTCAATAAGAAGAATGAATGAATAAAATAGACAGTGTGCAAGATATATAAGCAGATAATTCACAGAGAGAATCATCAATACAAAAATACATGAAATTTGTTGAAATTTACACTGATCAATGAGAAAAGTACAAATTGATGTGATAATAAGATAAGCTGTTTACCCATCAAATTGGGGAAAAATGAAAACATTTAATAACGTGTAATTTCAAGATTCCAAGACATCTGTAATCCCTAAGACTCCTAATGGTTAACAACTAAGCTGATAGAATCTTAGAATTGTAAAGTTGAAAGGCACTTCACAAATCACCTAGTCTGGTCTTGTCATTCTTTGGAGGAAGGAACCTGCACACCGTCAGAGAGGCTGGTTTATATTCTTGAAGTATCTGACTTTTTCCATCCACAAATATATAATGAACAGAACTTCTTGACATTTTAAAGTCCCTATATCTCTCTTCTTTCATTAATTTTCTTCTAAAAGAGATAAATGATTGACTAGAGCACAGAAACACCTAAGCCACAGGTCAACAAAATTTTTCATGTTAAAAATGAAAAATAGGACTTAAGATTTCTTTAGAGAAAGACGAAGTTAGGATTCCTAGGCTTGTCATTCCAGGAGTCTTTGGTTTACATTAGGTGCTATGATAGTTCAGAATACTATTTTAGGGAGGGGGGAGGTCAAGATGGTGGCGTAGGTAGACTCTGAACTCACCTGCTCCTGCGGACAGAGCCAATTTACAACTACTCATGGAAAAATTACCCCTGAGACAAAACTGAAAACTGGAAAAAAGGAACTCCTAAAACAAAGGACAAACCTGGTTGAGGTGGAAGAGACAGAAACTCCCTTCAGGAGAGAAAAAATGCCGCATTCACAAGCAGCCAGCTGCACGGCTTCCAGGGAGCATCCAACAGGTACACAGCCCTCCCTGGAGGAGGGGACTCTGAGCCAGGAGCACCCCCACTGTGGGCATTTTGTGGACCCAGCAAAACCAAGATGAGTGGCAGAATATCTGACTTTGCCTGCTACGAAAACATTGGGGAATAGCCCCAGAAAAGCTGGTTCACAAAGAAATTAAAACCAGCTCTTAAAGGGCCCACACACAAACTCACCCATTTCAGAAAACAACCAAAAACCACCAGAAAGAAATGTGCATAGTGTTTGGTGGGAAGAGACTCACCTGATAGGACCTGAGTGCATCTTGGTGAGAGGTGAGACCTCTCCAGGGACTGGGACAACGGTGGCAGCAATTGTTCTGGCCTGGTGTGAGCATGCTGACACGGACGCCATTGCAGTTCTCCCTGGGGCCTGCTAGCCCAGGTCTGTCCCACCCACTAGAGCACCGATTTAGTCCAGCTCAGCCAGGGCAGGCAGCCCACTCTAGGGACTGGCCCACCAAACAACAAGTCCTCAGGCAACTTGTGGGCCTGCACAGATTCGTGACTGGATTCTCTGCAGCCTAGCAACTAAGCCCACTTCAGTGAGGCAGGGCGTGCACAAGGAGTGGGTGGAGAGTGTGGGGCGGTTGTGGAGTGTGTGGGGCTACCACTGTGGAGAGACTGGGTCCACTTCAGGAGGTCGGCGTGCACACATGGGGCAGGACTGTGTGGCTGTGTGTGTGGACCTGTGGGCGGCAGGGCTTGTCAGCTGCAGAAGACTTGTGCTTCTCAAAGACCCACATACGGGGTTTGCCCCACCTTCCAAAGCCTGAAACATTTGGGTACTCCTGTGCCTGAGGCCAGCCCCACCCAGCTGCAATCCTCAGAGAGCTGACAAGAGACCTAAAGGCTGGAGGCTTATACCAATTGTAAGCCCCTGAGCCTAACAACCTGCCATGCTCGGGGCCTACTCACTTAAAAGAAATACTGCAACACAAATGTGGTATTAGAACTTGCAGCCAACTGTGCTGGGGCTCCCCACACCTGATAAAGAGACTGAAGGGCCCACAACAACTACAAACAGCTGAGCATTACAACAGCTGACCAGGAGCAAAACTCAGCCTCCCTGGGTGCCTACGGGGAGAGCAAACAGGCCACAACAGAAAGACACATGTAGCCCACATAGGGGTCACCCCTGGAACATTGAGAACTGAGGGAAGCACACTGCAGACATTCTAAGGCATCACTTATATAAGGTCACCTATCCAAGAACAGGAGACGTAGCTGACCTACCTAATACATAGACACAAGCACAGGGAAAGAGGCAAAATGAGGTGGCAAAAGAATACATTCCAAGTAAGGGAGGGGGACAAAACCCCAGAAAAGGAACTAAGTGAAACAGAAATGAGCAATCTATCTGATACAGAGTTCAAACTAAGAGTGTGAAGGATGCTCACTGATCTGGGTAGAATAATAGAAGAACTCAGCAAGAATGTCAACAAAGAAATTGAAGATATGAAAAAGAACCAATCAGAAATGAAGAATACAATACTGGAAATGAAAAATTCAGTAGGGACTCAAAAGCAGAGTAGAGGATACAGAATAATGGATCTGCGAGCTGCACAAAAGACTAGAGGAAATTACCCAAGCTGAAGAGGTAAAAGAGAAAAGAATTAAAAAGAGTGAGGACAGTCTAAGGGACCTCTGGGACAACATCAAG